AAAGGAAGGAAGGAAGGAAGGAAGGAAGGAAGGAAGGAAGGAAGGAAGGAAGGAAGGAAGGAAGGAAGGAAGGATCTAAATTTCAAGACACTTTTTGTATTCGTCACTAAATAATCTAATGGGCAACGTCTTCAGGAGATGTAGTGACACTCTCGATATGGCTACTTTTAACACTAGTTCTCAAAAACAGTTGATATATATTATTAGGAAGTTGCCTCAAAAAAGGCATTTCTAGGGATGCCTGGGTGGCTCAATCAATTAAGTGTCTGACTTTTAAAAAAATTTTTTTTAATGTTTTATTTATTTCTGAGAGAGAAAGACAGCATGAGCAGGGGAGGGTCAGAGAGAGAGGGAGATACAGAATCTGAAACAGGCTCCAGGCTCTGAGCTAGCTGTCAGCACAGAGCCTGATGCGGGGCTTGAACCCACGAACCATGAGCTCATGACCTGAGCTGAAGTAAGACGTTTAACTAACTGAGCCACCCAGGTGCCCCAAGCATCTGACTCTTGATCTCAGCTCAGGTCTTGATCTCAGACATTTCTACAAAACATCTCTTCATATTTTTTGCTTATTAAAGCTACACGTGTGCTTATCTAAAAGTAGATGGAAATAGTCAAAGAAGTAAACCTTGAACTTGTGCAACCATAGAGGGCACTTAAAAATGGACAGTATGAAGTGGTTTGAATGTGTGTATAATTTTGGCTTGGTGTCAGAAATATTCTTCTCACTTAAATGTGCAAAATGTAAATCATTCCTTCCTTTTCAGCACCATAGTGGCAAGAAAGGGTAGCCTATCAGAGAACTCAGAAGCCTAAGATTACAGAAATACTATGGAAACCAAATGAAGAAAAGGGTCCTTTACATTATTATTGACATACATTGTGCTAAAATTAAACTTTGAATTAATGTATAAAGAGAAACTGGGTGGGGGGGGAACGTGGAGCTAATACAAAGAAAGAACCAAAGAAAACAACATTCAAATACAAAAGATGAAAAAACAAACCTGAAAAAAAATTTTAATAGTAACAAAGTTTTCACAAGTTTCTTATTATAAATCAGTATCAGGAGCCCACTATTTATCATGTTAATATGTTTCACACAATTAACACTTGAGTTAAAGTAGAATAACTTGCCAACAGTATAATTTCAAGTGCTAGTTTAGTCATTTTAGCTAATATGATTTTTGTCTTCACAAGGTCCTTAGTGAAAAGGTAACCACAGTCAAGACTCTGGTCTCAGACTAGGCAGAAGAGGTAACTAGTACTCTCTAAAGGGCATGTTCTCTTTTACTTGTGTTACATACACATTTGACATGTATGGAGTAAAGATATTAGAAAATTATGCCAGTGGTAAATCGGTTTAAAATCTAGCTGGGGTTTTATCAAGAGATTTACAACCCACAGATCATTAGCTATCTCCATTCAACCGAAAATTCTTACTTTCAGGTAGAGATGAAAATCCCAAATTGACTAAATTGCCGATAAACTCTTCTAAATTCACTTTCCCATCCTCTGAAAGAAAAAAATGCATGTCAGAGAACAAGGAATATGATCAGAGACTGGCAACTATAGTATAATTACTATACTGAAAAACATTTTATATTTTATATATTCAATCAAAAAGACAGACTCATGCATATCATTCAGACACATAGACTCACACCTTATAGATCCTCCTTTGTATGATGCTACTGAAATTACGTAAAACCTAACTGGGTAGTAGGTAGAAAAGAGCCTCGGATAACCCATGAAGCGGATAAACACTTTAAGGATTCTTGAAAAGTTCAAACACATGCATGTCAACTAGGATAAAGGGTATCTAGAAACATTAAATACTCACCCGTGATAGCCACATTCTTCAGGGATCTCTGAATCATGTCTTGGGGTAATGGAACTCCTATATTTTGCATCATGGAGCCTATGTCATCAGGAGTGACCTCATTTTTCCTAATGGCAGTCAGAGCTTTCAAGAGGTCTTTTTTTTCTATATTCAAAAAAATATGTAATATACGAAGTTAAAAAATATGCAATATTCAGTGAGTCCTGAATAACAATAATTACCACTAGTAGTACTACTACTGCTACTTCTACCACTTATTAAATATGCAGTCTGAGCTTGCTAAGCACTATGCTAGATTCTGTGAGGTTGTTACCAATATTTCCCTTATTTAACAGGTAAGGAAACCTAGCCTTAGAGAGGCTAGTCTAAGCATACACAGTTATTAAATGTGAAGCCAAGTGTGAAGTCTAGGGTATCTGATTTCACAGAATGTTTAGTCGCTAGGCTAAACAAGTCACTGCAAACATTTAATTTGAAATTGAGGAATGATTACATAAAAAGAAATCTCAGGACATCTGCTTATACTCATCTCTGGCATATCAGAAGCTGAGAATTCCATTAAAGCTAGTATAACTAATCATAAAAGTAATACTAGCAATTCTCTTGCCAAAAATTAGATAACCAGCAATAGTTTGATGTGACTATTCTTAACTTTTTTCATTCAGTGGATACTTGGATGTAACCAACACATACACACAAAAAGTCCCCCAAATAATGGAAGGATCAATACCAAAAAACCAAAAAAGGTAACATTCATTTCTGAAAGTATCATGTTTAAATTGTTTGAGTAAGAAAGAAATTTTAAATGTATTATGATAAACACTATCATATCAAAACATTAATCCTGTAAGAGATTTGCTTATAAACCACATACCTAGGAGAGTTTTATAGGTCCCACTCAGAAAGCCAAAGATTAAGGACAAAATATTTTGTCAGTTGAAAAAACATACCATTTTGGTTACATCTTAAACACCTACATTCTGTGGAATAATTTCATTTCTGTAGATACCTAAATTAGGCCTTCTGAATTTTGTTCAGTTTCAATCTTAGAAATTAAAATTTAGAGGAAATTAAGCCATTTCAATTAATCTCAAGAATACAGGCAGCTCCAAGAGACCCGGAAGTTCTGCAGATATCACAGATATCTCACAGTTGGAGACATCAATTCAATGAACACATTAAAACCAGACCAAGAGACATTCAATGTCTCATGGCTAAGGCAGTGGAATAATGGGAAGAATATCACTCACATCATATGGAGGAAGCCTGTATGTTTCAACATATTCCTACATGTTTCAACAGATACTCTTCTCATGATAAAATCCCATTTTAATAAAGGTATAATAGAATAAAAAAATTAATTTTTTTAGTATAGCTGACACACAGTGTACATTAGTTCTAGGTATACAACTTAGTGATTGACAAGTTTATACTTTATGCTCTGTTCACCACAAGTGTTAACCACGACCTGTCCCATTACATCACTATTACAATATCATTGACTGTGTTCTTTATGTTGTGCCTTTTATTTGTGTGACTTACTCATATCATAACTGGAGGCCGGTATCTCCCTCTTTCCTTCATCCATTTTGCCCAACCCTCAAGACCCTCCCTTCTGGCAACCATCAAGTTGTTTTCTGTATTTATAGGTCTGATTCTACTACTTGTTTGATATTTATTTGTTGTTTGTTTGGCTTTATTTATTTATTTATTTATTTATTTATTTATAACTCTTCTTTGTATTTTTAAGTAATCTTTATACCCAATATGGGGCTTGAACTTAAAACCCTGAGATCAAGAGTCACATGCTCTACCAACAAAGCCAGCTAGGTGCCCTTGTTTGGCTTTTTTAAAATTCCACTTATAAGTGGACTCATATGGTACTGGTCTTTCTCTGTTTGATTTATTTCACTTAGCATAATACCCTCTAGGTCCATATATGCTGTCTCAGATGGCATGATCTCATCCTTTTTATAGCTTCCTTATTCAGTCAGCTATTAACACTTAATTAATCCTTTTTGAGTGATGGAAAAATACTATAATTTCACAAAATTTAAGTCAAGAAAAGGTCAGGACTAGGATCCCTTATTGATTCAACATGCATAGTACATTTGTTATATACATGATGTGCTTTAGCATTAGAAAACTACACAAATGCATACAATCAAAACTAAAGAATTCCACTCAAAACTTTTATTGTTAAAAAATTCTCACTTACTTGGTACTTCTGTAAAATATGGCATTTTCATTAACTGAGTCAGGCAATCTTTTAAGTTCACTTTCCTCTCGTCTGAAAATGAAACATCAAGAAATAAACAGTCTTTAATCCAAAGATACAAAAGGATGAGGTCAAAAGTTATGCATGCTTACTAAATCTTCAGAACCAGGTTAGTCATGTTTTCTAACACTGATTCTGCTAAACACATCTCAGAATATGAAAAGGAATATGATTATGATAACTCTTGTGGTCTTTTTTGTTGTAGAGCCAATGAGTGTTTTATGGATTTTACACATATTTTAACCACTTGGGACCATTTTTTTGGGATATTTCCTCTCTGATACGACATTCTCTTAATTTTTCAGCATTACAAGTCCTACTGTGACTACGTTATGAGGGAAGAAGATATTCACTACAAGTACCATAAACCAAACCCAACCAAAATACCTAATGAAGACTATATATACTTATAAGCAAAGATATTTTAATAAAGGAAGTGTGAAGTCTTTAGTTTTTTATTAGCCATATATTTAGAACTTAAGAAATAAAAATATCCCTTTGCTTTGTATGTAAGCTAAATATCCTACTGGCAGGATTCCAGAAAAACCAGTGTAGCCCTTTGAGGACTGTGGGGAAACCAAAATGGTTTGTGTCACCACACTATGGCTTGGCCCTGTATTTCATGGGTTTGAGAGAGCTTCATAGCTCCTGTCCAATAAAAACGTAAGATTCAAACCTCAGGAGGCAAAGAAATGGGAAGAGAGGAAGAGTATACATTCGTAGGATAATTCACTATGAGAATAAACCAAAACAAATTCTCATCCAAGCCTAATAGGGAAAATCTAATGTTGTTGAACTCATTACATTTGATTTCTAATCAATCAGCTCTGAGAATTTATGAGTGAAAGCAAACACAAATTTGATGTGTAATAAACGGCTCAGAAAAAGGAATACTTACTATCAAGAGGAATTGATGTAAGCACCTCCTGTAATTCTTCCTCTGGGAAATAAATCCCTAGTCCTTTCAGGATAGATTTTACATCATCAACATCAACTTTTTCATTGGTGACTTTCTTTAAGGCCTTTGCAAGTTCATTAACCTCTATTAGGAGAAAATATTTTCAGTTTAGATGCAAATTCTAAATAATTATCTTAAACCATCATTAAAAAAAACTAGTATAGATACCTAGAATTTTTTAAGCATTCACCTTAAATACCCTCTTGAGGTACACATGCATCTCTCATTTTATATATACAAAATAGATCACTTACAAGGCAAACTCATAGTAGAAATGAAGTCTTGATATCAGTCTCCTTCTGTCCATCTATCTCTGCTTCTCAAGTTTCCTATATCCTTTCTGTATGTGTCCAGTGATCTTTCTGCTGCTCCTAGTCATGGCCACCTCAAATCTGCCTCTTTCCCGTTCTTTTATTAAACTTAATTTGTCTTATACTGATTCTCTCGTACTTAGAGCTGAGAACCTTGGTATACACAAGTAACAGCTAATTAATCTGCTGATAGAATTGTTATTTTTTTAATAATTGGAAACCAATGTTAACGTAAGAGAGAGTTTTGCACCCCCCACATGTCAGTTTCCTTTTTATTTAATAACAATATTTTAAAAGTGGCCTAATATAGGTAATACAAAAGCATATCTTTTTTTTTTTTTGCTATGTTTCTGCTCAGCCTTTTTCTTTTTCTTTTTTCTTTTTTAGTTTTCTTTTATTTATTTTTTTTTACAAATAGTTTATTGTCAAATTAGTTTCCACATAACACTCAGTGCTCATCCCCACAAGTGTCCTCCTCCATGCCCATCCCCCCTCCCCCCCACATCCATCAGTCCTCAGTTTTTGTCAGCATTCAAGAGTCTCTCCTGGTTTGCCTCTCTCCCTTTCCCCCACCATTTCCGCCCTTCTTCTCCCCCTTGATCCTCCATCAAGTTCCTCCTAATCCTCCTATACGTGCAAACATATGGTATTTGTCTAGAAGGTAATTATCCTTACTATTACTTTAAGTAGTCATTTACTCTGTCTAGGAAAAACCCATATTTATTCCCTAATAGTATGATCAATCTGAATTTATCACTTTGGAATATGGATTTATAACCTCTTACTGTGATGACAGTACTTCCTAGGTACAAAGTGTGCTGACATTGCCTTTGTATTCAGGTAAAAGTTTTCTGCCTAGAAATAGACACCTGAAAATGTGGTAATGGTAGGGTAATAAGTAATTCCATTATGTATTTGGGGAAAGACTTAAACTCAGCCATATTACAATTTGCAGTGTTATAAAGTAGGTATTTTACCATTCAGATATTGTGCGTTCCCAGATCTATCCCATAATATGAACCCTTTCTACCTTATTCCTCACAGACATCTAAGTCATTCTCACATGTATACTTTGGGCAGGCTAGTCGCCTCATCTAGAATGTACATCTAAATTCTCCCCTACCTTATCCCCAGTCCAGCAACCAGTTCAAGGTCCATCTGCTCTTTTAGGCTTCCCCAGATCATCATAGTTCATTCTGATATACCATTATATATGATAATGGCATACTATCAGTATATATAAGATGTTTTCTTCTCATTATACTTAAGTTCTTGTAGCTCTTATGGCTGGTGCCACATGATCTAGTATAATGTCTTCTAAATGTAAGTTTTTTTTCTCTTATCTCACCATAATCTCCCTTGTGAGCACAAGACCCTTGTGCTCTAATACTTCTGCGATCTCTACTGTGCATCCCAAATGTACTCACTAATTACTTGTTACTTGATTTACTGACTATTTAATATATTTTCTCCTCTGCTCCCTTACTGTTTCTTTTTTTTTAATGGTTTTTTTTTTTTTAATTTATTTCTTGGAGAGAGAGAGAGAGAGAGAGAGAGAGACAGTGTGAGCAGGGGAGGGTCAGAGAGAGAGGGAGTCACAGACTGAAACAGGCTCCAGGCTCTGAGCTGGCAGTCAGCACAGAGCCTGATGCGGGGCTCAAACCCACGAACCGCGAGATCATGACCTGAGCGAAAGTCGGACGCTTAACCGACTAAGCCACCCAGGCGCCCCTCCCTTACTGTTTCTATTCCTCTATCCCACTGTCATGCCTACCTACTATTCTACTTCCCTCCATTCTGCATTACTGTGCTTCTCAAATGAGTTGTCTATTATTTGTTGCCCCTATTTCATCACCCACTCTCTATTTCTTTAGCTCCCACAGCTCTCCTAGAATAAAACTACTTTACATTTGACTACTTTTCATAACTAGTGGGGTACTTCTATATTATTTCTTTTGATATCCACAAAAAATCTTATGAAATATATAGGACAGGTACTATTATCTATAATTAGGTGTATATATCTGTGTTTTACATTAGATCAAGTGATTTGTCCAAGATCATGAGGAAGAAAACATTAGGCTACAAGTGAAACTTTCTGATGCAGAGTACAATGCTTCTGCTATTACAAAGAACAGCAAATAACCTCTCAACCCACTTCTTTATCAAATCTAATAATCTTAGCCATCACTGTCCTCTGTACAATTTGGGTAGCTGACTACCCACCCTCACTTCTTAATTAGCCTCCTTCCTTCCAGTTACAGAATTAGTACATGCTATGTGCTTAATGATTTACATTTTAATGGTATTTGGTCTTAATGCTCTTTAATATTAAATTCCATTTCATTTAACAACGTATTTTAAACATTTTCCCTTGTCAACATATTATTCTAGGAGTATTATTTTTAAATGACTACATAGTAATCCACTGCGTCCTATCTTTCTAAATAAAAATTCAGTGGAATCCTAATAATTAATCCTCTTACAATTTTCTTTCAGAAGAATTGTCCCAGTTTACACACATATGTAGGAGAAAAACCACTATATAGGGATCCACTGCATCCTATCTTTCTAAACAAAAATTCAGTGGAATCTTAATAATGAATCCTCTTACAATTTTCTTTTAGAAGAATTGTCCCAATTTACACTCATACGTAGAAAAAAGCGTTCCTTTCACCATATCTTTTCCAATTCCTATTTCCTCCTCATTCTCTTCTTATTCTTCTGGAAGAAGTTTAAGATCATACTGTCATTCATTCCTTCTAACATCTTCCCAAAAACATCTTTTCAAGAATTATATTACATTTATCAATTAATTTAAAGAGAAGTGACTTGGGGCCCCTGGGTGGCTTAGTTGGTTAAGCATCCAGATTTGGCTCAGGTCATGATCTCATGGTTTGTGAGTTCAAGCCCCACACTGAGCTCTGTGCTGACAGCTCGGAGCTTAGAGCCTGCTTCAGATTCTGTGTCTCCCTCTCTCTCTGCCCCTCCCCCACTCACACTCTTCTCTCTCTTTCTCAAAAACCAATAAACATTTTTTAAAAATTAAAAAAAATAGAGACGTGACTTATGTATGATATGTGAAATCTATCCAAAAAATCATAAATGAGTACTTACACTACCACAATCTTTCTCATTTTACCTTAAGGAGGTTAGCATTAACTCAAAGATTGAGAAAACAATCAAAGTAATGAAACTTTTACTAAACAGATCAAGAATCTAGGCTAGAACACTACTAGAACTGATCCAAGAATTCAGCCAAGTTTCAGGGTACAAAATCAATGTACAGAAATCGGTTGATGGGGCGCCTGGGTGGCTTAGTTGGTTAAGC